CCTGGCTGTGACCTGCTGCCACCTGCAGCAGCATCCACCCTCTTGGACCTGGAGCCCCATGGCTGTGCCCCTGCCAGACCCAGAAGGGGTGCCCTCACTCTGCCATTTGGGCAGCCATTGCCCAGAAGATGTGTTCCTTGTGGTGGCCCGCTTTGAACTGTCAACATGTTGTCCTCAGGGCCCCAAATGGCCAAGATGTCACCCACCTCATCTGCCCTCCAGCTGGGTCACCAGTGCTGGCTCTGGACAGGATCCTCTGCACAGGTCTCACCACTTGTCTCAACAGCAGAGATCCTGGTGTTCCCTGTTTAAAAATTGCAAATACTCTGGTAAGAAATGTTGCACATTTTGTTGCACAGAGAATGAGATGCTTAGTGCTTAGAAAGACTGACATGACAATTCCATCGATAGTTAACAGAAAGGCTTTACTAATTAAATAATGAGTTCTTACAGGAAAATGACAGGTAGGCTTATTGCAATCTACAAACAAAACAAGCTATAACCAAGTCCAGTACTTATTAGCCGTAATAGTGATTTGCTCACCAACATGGGCGAGGAAGTGGTTCTGGTCTTTGCAGCTTCTCACCAGGCATGGATCCATCACCGAGGGTGGTCAGCTGGGCACTGTTATGGTGGGTCAGCGTGTTGTTTCTCTTCTGGAATGAGTGCTTCTTGCTGGTAGCTTCCTTCTTCTCTTATACACCTTCTTCAAAGCATATTTCTCTTAATGGGTTGATGACCATAGTGACTATAGTATGGTTTGATTGCTTTAGCCCAACACCCTAAACCAGAGGCACACTACTTGATTTAATTTCAGTAGGACTTGGTTTCCTGAATTATGCACCTTAGATCCTAAATTGTAAGATGCAGTGCAGATTATTGTGATAGCAGGGTGGAACTCCAACTGGCAGAGACACCTAGATTGGCAAGGAATGTCATAGCAAGGGGGATGTAATCACTCGGAAGGGGAGCTTGTTCATAACCAAATTAGAATAGTTGGTCATGGGTTGTACTTAATACTAGAGTCAGAGATGAGATTACCTGTATTGTTATGCTTTAGGTGGTTCCAGTCATGAGTTTATATTCTTGTGCAAAAAGGCACTGATATTATAATTTTGTTATTTAAATTTTACATGTAGGTCTGTGTCCAGCAAGAAACCCAAATTCTCTCATTAAAATACCCAAAATAGTGTTCTTCTGCTATTAAAATGAAGCACCACTATATATCAAGAAATCAGGTGTTCAATGTTTTATTGATATATTTACAGGTGTAAAGCAATTTGGAGGGAGGGGGTTGGGGGAATTTGTGGGTGTAGGGTTTGTGGGGGTGTGGAGCTTGTATGGGGGCTTGGGGTTCGTGACACGGTATGTGGGTGAGGGGCTTGTGGGGGTGGCTGGAGAATGTAGGTTTTGTGGGTGGATTGTGGGGGGACTGTGGTTGTGTGGGGGGGCTGTGTGTGGGGGCCTTCTCAGGAGGGGTGGGTCCCCTGCCCCCCACAGGGTGAAGCTCTCCCGCACAGCAGATGGACTGCCCGCAGGGCCCACAGACCCCCTCCCCCCCGAGCCACAGCCCCTCCTACAGGACCACAGCTTCCCCCCACAGGACCACAGCTTCCCCTCATAGGGCCACAGCCCCCCCTACAGGGTCACAGCACCCCCCTGCAGGACCCACATGCCTGCACAGAGCCCACATGAGCTCCCCACACAGCCCACATGTACCCCACAGGGCCCACATGCCCCTATGCAGGGCCCACATGCTTTCCCTGCACCCTGAACAACTTCAAACCCAACTAAATGATCCACTTTTGGCATGACAAAATACCTTCACATCTAACAGAAGGACAGCAGTTTGGTTACAGAGGCCCCTAAAACTGCCTGATGGATTAGCTACATCCATCCTATCTGTTTCCTGATGGGATTGTAACTAATTTAGCAGATTTGGAAGCCAGCTTCTCTACAGAATGAGCTGTGTTTGCACAAAATTACTGAAGCCCATTTCAGTTGACTGCACTTCAATGTCTAGTGCTCTGATCCTGCCAAGTGTTGCCTGCGGCAACATGCTGAGCCTCACAGGTGCAAGGATTTCCCCTATATGGTACTCAATGGAGTCAGGACCAGAGCCGGTTACTGCAACACTAGTGCATCATGCAGTATGGCATTTATTTAGCATCTGGCCTTGCTATCCTTATTCATGCTGAGAAATACCCCAGCATGCCTCTTGCATACTTTGTGGAGTCAAGTGAGTGACTTCACTACTCAGATGTTTCTGCAGAATGGCCACAAAAGATGAGAGCATGAAAAAAGAGAATCCAGTTTTACATTTGATCAAATGCTCCCAGCCTTTATTGGTGCTGGTACGTACTGAGTGCTTTTCAGAAGTTTGTCTTTCCTCAAAACAGAACAGAAAAGAACAGAACCCCCTTCCTCCAGCCCAGCAAACATACACAGAAAAAGCCCACCTTCATCTTCTCATCTAATTTAGTCCCAAAGGAACCTGTCTGCTTGCCTGCTTGCCTATCTCGGTCCCTCTCCCCCTCTCTCTTAATATTCCATCTATCCTTGGTTCCTTCTAAGTGCCTTGGTAGTCTACCGAGTTTGGTAGAAATGTCAGTACTGTTTTTCCAATACACAATATTTTGCAACGTGAAGTTGAGATCTTGCATTTTCCCTGGATTTATGTTGTGATTTTGCTTCCAGTTGGGGTGTCACGCCCATGTAAAAAGATCTCAGATCTCTTGGATTTTTTGTCCTTTTCACTACAAGCAGTGCACTTCTTTTCATATGTAATCAGTCACTTAACCTTTGTCCTCTTTTCTAACCTTGCTCCGGCTCCTCTTTCTCTCTTTCCTGTGAAGTGTTAGAGGATGCATAGTCAAATAGCACAGGCATAAAAAAAGCTCTGAGAACAATGTAGAAGTTGGGGTTGTAACTCTAACAGCAACCTGGAGGGCTGTCTTCAGCAAAGAAGAGCCTTGGCTTCTAGTTGCACCCTTGAGACCTGCAGTGTTGGGTGATGGATCTCTGCCAGTTGTAGAAAGGAATAAAGGGGGACAGGTGATGACTGGCCAAATTCTTTACTGAGAGGGATCAGTCAGGTACAGACTGAAGGCTAAAGGCATTTACACAAGTGATCAAAAGGCACACTCAAAATGTTTAAAGTTACAGTGTGATTGAAATTAACAGATTTTCATTTTTTGGTGGTGGGGTCTTGGAGCCAAGGCCAGGAGGCAGGGGGTACTGTCATCTTCATGCACTGGCTGAGGCTAGGAGTGTGTTGACAGCAGCCCTGCCTAGCTGTGGTGCTGGGAGTTGGGGCAGGGGGGGAATCCAAGCTCCCCCCCACACTTCCCCCCAAAAACCCGTGTACCTGAGGTGGCTGGACCAGGCCAGTGTGGCATAGGGGCTTGGATTCCACACCCGCCTTAGCTTCTGGAGCTGCAGCCAAGCAAGGCTGCTGTCAACACAATTACACTGGAAGCTGGGGCTAGGGGGGGGAAATAGGAGCCCCTATATCTCATGGGTCCAGGCCAGCTCCCCTCCATGACCTCACCAGGCCTGGGCCCATGGAGCATGGGAGTCCAGATACCCGTTGCTGCCCCAGCACCCAGTGCGAATGTGTTACCAGGGGTACCTTCCCTTACCTCTCCTTTCCAGGGAGGAAACTCTTTGTGGCAGCCTCAGGGATAGGGCTGGGCTGGTTCTTGCCTACAGGAGCACCAGCCCAGCCCCGCAAAGGTGCATGGGATACCAGCAGAATCACTCAAAATTAACTCTCACAGGGATCCTGTGCAAAACTTCCCTAAGGCACTCTGCATTAGAGCACCTTCAGCTAATTGCTGATTAAACAAGGGTTATTTTTTCACGTAATCAGCTATTTTAAAAGCGCTCTGCCGCTGTGAACTTTAGTTAATTTTATGGCAGGAACATAGAGTGCTTTCAGGGGCCTTATCACATGAAAAATGTAATTTCTGTAAGCTCTCAAATACTGAGGTAGTTCCTATTTCTCTTTCTGAGGAAGGATCGCACAGAGGACTGCCTGGTTCCCTGTATGTGATTTACCCACATATGTGTTCAGCGGAATGAATTTCATTTCCTTCAGATTTCTGTCAGGAAGTTGCATCAGTGCATGATGCTCAGGACAACATCCCTTTCTCACATAGTAGAGAAACATTCTGACCTTTTAAGCAGCTTTGAAAAACAAAAACAAGTCTTATGTAATACTGGACTAATTCTAGTTGATATTTCCTGGGTATTATCATGGGGGCATTCCCATACCAAATGCACTCAGTTTCCTTTGACACACCCAGAGGGAGTGTCAAATGTATTCAGTTGTATTTCACAGGGCCACACACCAGACTTGTTTATAAATTTGCATTGTGCACTTTTACAGTAATTCATCATTTCACCTGTTCAGTGTTTCTTTTTTCTCTCACAGTTCAGTGACCTGATACTGCATCTTATTCTCATACAGTTGCTTTTAACTTGCTTGTGTGCTGGACAGAACATATAAACTGGAAAACATTTACTGATGTAGTGCCTCAATGGGATATGCTGAAGGCCTCTTAGTACATGCACTGAGTTGCCAATAATGGATTTTTAAAATGTCTTATGGTCTGGTGTCTTAACTCTTAGCTTAGAAGTTACTCACTTTGTAAAAATGTTTGTTAAAAGCTCATTTAAAATGATTAATTAAAAACATGGGGACTTTTTGCAGAAAATTGTTGTATTTTCCTTTCTACTTCTTGACCAGCTGTACTGCTTATTGATTTGGGGTTTTGTCAAAGAGAATGTATTTATCATCTTGCCTTATATGCAAGACATGATATCATGAGACATAACAACTCTCAGTTATGATGGGGATATCAGAGGTGTCCTGGAGCACCTAATTTCTTCATCTTATTGTGGATCAATCTTGTTTCAGGTTTGGTGAAGCTTATTTCAATTTGGGAAAGGCTTTCGAAGACAGTGTCAGTGCCAAAATCCAGTTTTTCTTCTTAAGGATGGAGGACCATCCTATCACATTTTTCTTTGTAATAATTTTAAGTTTATGAGCTGCTTCCCTAATATGAACAGATGATTCAACTTCTGCATCTGGCATTTAGATGCTGGAGTGGTACTGGAACGGTGTGAACATGAGATGCTGACTGTGCAGATCATTACTACTGTACAGTAGCATTGCACAGCATGAAGCGTGATGCAACACTACAGCATCAGTATGTTCAGTCAGCGTCACCTAAAAGCCATTCAGTGACACTACTGTGCAGTAACTCTGGTTACTGTGCAGTAACAACTGTGCAATCAGGTTCTTGTGTAGACACAGCCTGGAACAATAATCCTCCAAGACTCTCAGGGGCAAATCTGACATCTTGTCTAACTTCCTTATTTCTTTGATTTAATATTTTCAGTGACTCCCTACCATTTCTGTTTCTTCTACAATACAAAATGGTATTGACATAATAAGAGTCTACATTAATTTAACACTTTTAATCTGAGGAGCTAAAAGCTTTTTACAAAGTTGGTGAACTAGCCTCACCTCTGTTTTGCAGCTGGAGAAAGTGAGGCAGAAAAATTAATGCTTTGTGCCTTCAGTTGGAGTACCTGTAATTGCAATCTGGTTCTATTAAAGTTATTTTGTATTATCACAGAAGATGATACAGGAAAGCAGTGTAACTAGCAAGATAGTAACCATTATTATCAGAAAACTTTCTTTTAGTGATTTTGTTAAGAAACACAGATACCAAGTCTAAGTAAAATATAGGTCTTAGTGAAATAATCTGGTCTGCTTTTACTGGCTTCTTTTGCCTTAGATAGATCCTGAGTGGGAAATCTATTAGTATGTTAAATGTTTTCCCAGGTCTTGATGTATACTTGACTGATACAGTTCTAATTCTCATTTTCTGTAATGTTGATATTGTACTTGTGGTTCACTTTTCAGATCCTGTCTCTCTCTGAAGTATTGTGGCCTTGCACACTATTCTTAATTCTGGCTGCAGTTCGTTTCCAGGAACCTCCCAAACACAAGGAACACTGTATGTTTGAGTTTAATCTGTATTTCTTTGCACAGCTGCACACAACATTGTAAAGACAGCTTCTCAGTAAGAAAATATCAGAAAGGTGAAACATAATGGCCTAAGTCAAAGCCACTGCAGTCAACTGAAAAAATTCCTAGGCTATGTCTGCATGGCACGATGCAGTGCCATGTGGACGTTCCCAGGGTGGTTCCTAACACGGTAACTTAGGTACTAGGAGCATGATAGCTGTGTTACCACAGCAGTCCACCTGGCCAATATACTTTGCTTCTTGGAAGGGCTATGGAGCCCAGATGAAACACCACACTATTGAAGCTACACTGCTCCCAGTACCAGATTAGTGTGTATAGAGCTACCTTGGGTATCTCTGTGTAGTACTGTGCTGTGCAGACATATCCGTATTGATTTCACTGGGCATTGGATCAAGACATAAATTAATTTTTAAAACAGTGGCTCCTTTATTTTCTGCAAATTTATAAAACCTGGGATTTTTTATCTAAATCTATAGTTAATTTTGCTAAATCCTTCTCAAGCATTATCTTGTATAAAGAAGCATGAATCATATTACTATGTCATTGTTCATTCAGTTTGTGCAATTCTGGGGAATTTCAGCATGGCCTATATTTTATAATCTAATTGGAAATGTGAACTTGTATTCAAGCTACACAATTGCCAACTTCCCAGAATGTGATGAAGCACAAGGCTAATGAAAACAAGGAACAGGGGAAAAAATCCACAGTGAAATCAATTACACCATGGTACAACTGCTTGAATTTAAGGCAGAAATGTGAAGCCTGTTGCCTCATAAAAGGCCTATGAGAATTTAAGCCTTGGATTGCTTTCTTTATGTTTATATATAGATTAAGCACAGATCTACTAGGAATGTAGAAACCTTTAGATCAGCAGTTTTCAAACTTTCTTAGCTGAGCCCTGCTTTGGGTTACAATTTTTTTTGCACCCCACCCGCCCTGGCCCCCTCACCCCAGAGGAGCAGCAGCCAGGCACAGGGCACCTCTCACCCTGGCAGCCACTGCGGCTTGGCTTGGTTTGGCTTGGCTTGGTGGGGCTGGCTCTAACTGCCCCGGCTCCAGCACCTCCTGCCTTGGCCCTGCTGTGACTCTAGGCTATGCGACCTCTGCATCAGGTTCCCAGAGCCTCAGCAGCTCACTGGCAGAGCCTGCCTGAGACTCCCTCCCCTGCATCCCCCCATGAGGTTGCAGCGGTGCCGGCTCCTTGCAAACTTCTCGCCCATGCCCCCATGTGCTGCGGCCTCCCTGTGTTCCTTCATGTCCCCCAGGGGACGTGCCCACAGTTTGAAAACTGCTCCTTTAGACTTAGTGGTACTGAGTAAGCCTGCATTTGAAGTAATGCTACAAATAGTGAGCTATCCGGAATTTGGTACATATATAGTGTCAGTGGAATACATATTCATTCTTTCTAATTCATATTCAGTAGACTATATTCTATGCACTGAAATAATAACTTTAACAGTAACTTCATTATCCCGTTTCTCTAAAACAGGACAGATACTGTTAGGAATGCTTCATTCTTAGAAGTCTGAGAGACTCATAGACTAGGTCCAGACATTCAAGAAGCCAAAGGCAGAACTGATCTAAGTTACGTAGTTTTCTGTAAGTGGCATAGTTTAGATCAGTTGTGTGGGTTTGATCAGTTTGAGATTGATGGCATTAGAGTTAATAATGTACCTTTACAAAATGACACTAATTTTCAAGTATCTCCATTTCAAAGCACATGATAGAGCGTGTGCGCACATGTGATACCTTGGGTATTGCTATGTGGTACTGCACTGTGCTGTGCAGAAATAACCCTTGTGATTTCACTGGGCATTGGATCAAGCCATAAAATCATTTTTTTTAACAATGACTCCTTTGTACACAAGCACATGTGCATGCACAAACTACACAAGAATATTCTAGCAATGTTCCAGCTTGTGTATGACGTTCCAACTACTTTAATGCTTTTTGTAGTTCAGATGGAGCACCTATGCTCTACTTCTGATACTGTTTTAAATAAAATTATTATTTTACTTACAGTGAATTAATGAATATATCTATATGTATATCTATTGTATTCTCACAGATTCAGAGTGTAGGTTCAATCAGTTTTAAATTTGATGGGATTAGAGTTAATAAATTAGATAGAGTATATGTGTGTATACACACGCTCCCACACGATATATATGTATGCATAGATACACATATACACATTATATATATGTGTGTGTGTATACACACACTGGTCACGTCTACATGTGCATCTGCTGCAGCACCAGTTTACTTGTGAGTAAATTACTCATCAGTAAATGGTACTGGGCAAGCATCTACACGTGCGGGAAAGCGGGAGCAGATTCATTGCCAATCTGCTTCCGCTTCCTGGGACCCTGCAGGTGGCCCTTGCCACCACTCGGGGGAACTCCAGGCTCTGGCTGCAGCTGCCAGTAGTCAGCAGCCCTCTTTAAAAGTAAGCCGTGCTTGCTGCTCTCTGGACAGCCATTTTCCTGGCTAGGACAGTGTGCCCAGTGTAGGGACAGCATGTGCCAGCCCTCTCCTTGCCACTTCTGCCTCCCACGCTATTGGCTGCTCCAGCTCCTGGCCCTGGCAGTGACTACCATCACCCTGGGCTTCTGTTGGCTGCTGCACTGGTTTGCCATACAGACCGCCACCAGGTCCACAGTCATTTTGCTCTTCCTGGCTCCCCTGTGCACAGCGACTGTCTGCCAGGCCGCTGTGCACCGTCCCAGGACTGCTGCCATGCACCTGCTGCCTCAATCCTGTCTGTCTGTCTGGATCCTGACAGGGATACCAACGACAGGCTGTCCAGGATGCCACCACTGGGGCTACCATCATACTCTTGGGCGTCCAACCCCCTGCTTCTGGGCCTGCTGGGCTAGCCAGGACTGGTGGCAGCATGTAATCCAGCACACCTGGGATGATGAACAGTGGCTGGAGGCCTTCTGCATTATCTGGGCCACCTTCTGAGATCTCCTGGACCAGCTCTAGGCATGCTTGGTATGGCAGGCCCCCGGGGGGGGGGGCACTGGCATGTGGCTGCCTCTCCCACCTGGTCCTCACGTTGCTCAAGCTGGCTATGCCTGCCAGCCTGCAGTACATCAGCCATCTGTTTGGCGTCGGCAAAGCCATCACCAGGGAGGACATCCTGGAGGTGTGCAGGGTCCTTCAGGACATGTTGGGGAACACTGTGCTCCACATGCATGATCCCCTGGTGGTGTTGGCAGGGTTCCTTGCCCTGGGATTCCCCCAGTGCATCAGGGCCCTGGACGGGACCCACATCCCGATCACGTGCCCGCCCCATGAAGACTGCCCCTATTACAGCCAGAGGGGCTTTCACTCCCTGATGTTCCAGGTCATTGTGGATCACCACAGAGCCTTCATGCATGTGAGCTCTGGCTGCATGGGCAGCACCCACAATACCCATGTCTTCAGGAACTTTAGCTTGCCAGACCTAGTGGAGAGTGGGTGCTTTGCACCAGAGGTGCCAGATCTGAAGCTGGGTGCTGTGGCCATCCTACCCCTCCTCACTGGGGACTCCACCTACCCGCTCTGGCTCATGCAGCCCTACACCAGCCATCTGGACCCCCAATAGGCCCACTTTAACTGCTGCTTGAGCTGGACCTGTACCTTGGTGGAGTGTGCCTTCAGTTGCCTCAAGGGCTTCTGGCATACCTCACCACCCACTTCAAACTTCCCTAGGACAATCTTCCCTGGGTCATCATCACAGACTGTGCTACATAACATCTGCAACGCCCAGGGGAGCTCTTCTGTAAGGCCTGGGCAGAGGAGGCATGGCACATGGAGGATGCCTGGCAGTGGGAGCACTACCTCTATTGATTGCAGCAGGAGTGGCTTCACCCCATTGGGGCCCCAGGAAAACCATGCACCCTCTAGCAAGGGCCAGAGCACAAGGTGTGGGAGGTGATAGCTGACCACCTCCTCCTTCACTCTTCATTCTAACCCACCTGTACTGCAGCCCACAGACCCCCCTCTCCCTGCCAACCCCCAGCAACACACTCACTGAGCAAGAAGTTTTTATTTCCCTCACATCAACCAGAGCCCTCTCTCTTCTCCCTCCCCAACAAAGTCCCCTCCTCCCTTAAACAGAGCCCCTCCACCACCCACCCAAACACCACGGCATGGAGGGTATGGACTTACAGACACTCCCTGACCGACAATTGTGGTTGGTGATGGCCATGCACTGTGCCTGCAAGGTCCTGACCTTTATGAGGCAATGCCGTGCTGACTGGTCGTGCCCACACTCCTGCATCCAAGCTGACAGCCCCTCATAGACGTGGGTGTTTGAGTGCTTGCCCTGCTTGAACTGCTGCTACACCCCTGCCTTGACCCACAGTGCCATGAGGTCACCAGTCTCCTCCTGTGACCAGCTGGGGTCCCAGGTGGCAGTCACAGGTGTGGGCATGGGTGTTGTTGAGGACATCACCACTGGGAATGCTGAACTGGCTCTCTCGGCCTTTGTTTGGTTGTCCCTGTGCTGATGGGCCTGGGCAGCTGCCTGCAGTGTCCAGTGCAAGGGCCTGGTGTGTGACTGGCAGCTGTGTGGCAGAGGCAATGCCCCACAGCACCTGCAGGCTCAAGGAAGGCTGCTGGGGGTGGGCTGCAGGCAGGTGAGGCTGGCCCTGGCAGTCAGAAGCTGGCTGTAGCTAGGCCTGGGTGCTGGCAGGCCTGGCTGGAGCCTGCAGCAGTCTGGAGCAGCCTGCAGGCTGGATGGCTCAGGCCTGGCAGCCACACAGCACTGTGGTACCAGACAGTGGCACTGGGGTGCAGGCAGGCTGGGGGAGCTCGGCCCTGGGCCCCCCT